CTCTATTGTGGAAGACAGAGGTGACATTTCTCAAAGACCTAAAGACAGAAATGTTATTTAACTCAGAAATCTCATTAGTAGATATATACCCAAAGGAAAATAAAGTATTCTATCGCAAAGACACATGGATGTGTATGTTCATTGAAGCACCATGTACAATAACAAAGACTTGGAATCAACCTAAATGCCCATCAATGATAGAATAGATAAAAATTGGTGCATATTCACCATGAAATACTATGTAGTCATAACAAAGAATGAGATTGTGTCCCTTGTAGGGACATGGATGGACCTGGAGGCCTTTGTCCTTAGCAAACAAAACAGGAACAGAAAACCAATTACTGCATGTTCTCACCTATAAGTGGGAGCTAAATTATGAGAACACATGGACACATAGAGGGGAACAACAGACACAGGCTTTTCAGAGGGTGGAGAGTGGGAGGACAGAGAGAATCAAGATAAAACAACTAATTATTACTAGGCTTAATACCTAGGTGAAACCAACCAACTATCTCATGCCTTCAGGAGACTCACCTAGCACATAAGGACTAACATAAACTTAAATAAAGGGATGGAAAAAGGCATTCCATGCAAATAGACACAAAAAACGAGCAGGGTTAGCTACGCTTATATCAGACAAAACAAACTTTAAAGCAACAGGAGTTAAAAGAGACAAAGAATGACATTACATAATGGTAAAAAGCCTTGTCGAACAGGAAAATATCACAATCCTAAACATACATGCACCTAACACTAGAGCTCCCAAATTTATAAAACAATTACTAATAGACCTAAGAAATGAGATGGACAGCAACACAATAATAGTGGAGGAATTCAATGCTCTGCTGACAGCACTAGACAGATCATTAGGACAGAAAGTCAACAAAGAAACAATGGGTGTAAAGTATACCCTGGAACAAATGGACTTAAAAACTATATACAGAACATTTCCTCCAAATACTGCAGAATGCACATTCTATTCAAGAGCACATAGAACTTTCTCCAAGGTAGACCATATGACAGGTCATAAAATGAGCCTCAATAAATTTAAGAAAATTGAAATTGTATCAAGCACTATCTCAGACCACCATGTTATAAAATTGGAAGTAAACTAGAAAAAGAACCTTAAAAACCATGCAAATACATGGAAATTAAATAACCTGCTCCTGAGGGAGCATTGGGTCAAAAACAAAATCAATATGTAAATTAAACATTTCTTTGAATTGAATGACAGTAATAACACAACCTACCAAAACCTCTGGGATACAGCAGAGGCGGTGCTAAGAGGAAAGTTCACAGCCCTAAACATCTACATCAAAAAGACTGAAAGAGCACAAACTGACATTCTAAGGTCCCACCTCAAGGATCTAGAGAAACAAGAACAAACCAAACCCAAACCCAGGAGAAGAAAGGAAATACCCAAGATGAGAGCAGAAATAAATAAAATTGAAACAAACAACAACAACAAAAAATACAAAAGATAAATGAAATAAAAAGCTGCTTCTTTGAAAAGATAAATAAAATGCATGGACTATTAGCCATAGTAACCAAGAAAAGAAGAGAGAAAATCCAAATAACCTCACTGAGAAACAAAAAAGGAGATATTACAGCTGACACGACTGAAATACAAAAGATCATTCAAGCTTACTATGACTACTATGAACACTTTTATGCATATAAACTAGAAAATCTAGAAGAGATAGATAAATTCCTGGAAAAATCAGGAAGAATTAGATACACTGAACAGACCAATAACAAGCAGTGAGATTAAAATGGTAATTACAGAATTACCAACAAAAAAAGAAGTTGAGGACCAGATGGATTCATGGCTGAATTCTACCAGACATTCAAAGAATTGGTACCAATCTTTTAAGACACTATTACACAAGATAGAGAAAGAAGGAACCATCCCTAATTAATTCTATGAAGCCAGCATCACCCTAACACCAAAACCAGGAAAGGACATAACCAAAAAGAAAACTACAGACAGATATCCTTGATGAACATAGATACTAAAATACTTAACAAAATATTAACTATCAAATCCGACAACATATCAAAAAGATAATCCACCATAATCAAGTGGGCTTCATACCGGGGATGCAGGGATGGTTTAACACATGCAAGTCAATAAATGTGATACACCACATGAACATAATTAAAAACAAAATTCACATGATTATCTCATAAGATGAAGAAAAAGCATTTGACAAAATTCAACATCTCTTTATGATTAAGACTCTCAGGAAAATTGGCATATAAGGGACATACTGCAAAGTAATAAATGCCATCTATGACAAACCCACAGCCAA